AAATTTATGTTTAGCGCCTACTAAATAGGACTGACTACATGTACGAAGAAACATGCAAAACAACAAAATTTACTGACTTAGTTAACTTTGAACTTCTAACTATTATACATGTGTCCATCTGCCCATTCACGAAGTACATTGTTAGTGCTGAATATCTTTTGCTCTTTATACCTAACAAAAGCGCTATGCTCAAATATATGGACACGAAATACATAAAGAGAGGGTTTACCACCATTTCACAAAAATCATACGGTATTTCGTGTCTTACATGTCCCATGGGAAATACAAATGTGTGCTGTCCCATCCCATGAGACTTTTCCCATAGACAAGCATGATGTATTGCCCATGCTAGCACATGTTGAAATTCACGCAGCCTGTTAACGATATATATGACCCATTATTAAATAAATATGTTTATGGCTCTTGTTGAGTTATTAGGAAGCATCGAAATACTACTGACGATAGAAAAATTGTGGTCTGATTGCCCTCCTTTGAAAAATGAAAATGCGATGCAGGCAAGGCCTGTGCGCACCCAGTTTGCCAACAACCGACGAAAGCGGTTAGAAAGAAATACGGAATGAAAAGGTGTTTTTTATATTCAAAATATATTCAAAAATTCCTGAGATGTTTACTTACCGAGATGTACCACTGGTTCGCCCTTTAATACCTTATGGTCCGAAAGTATTGTATTTACCGAAAGTATCTATCCTAATACCATATGCACCGTGAGTTTTGTTTACAGAATGTTTTTATAACAAATGGCTAACTTAACAATAAAGGTTTGATGAAGACAGTGCCCCAAAGTCGTAAGGAATAAGATATTATATATATTTGTTTCTGCGAAAAGTAAACTAGGATACGAATAACGCATCCAAATCAGTATAAATAGACAGACAGTTTATCTCTTCGTAACCAGCAGACTAGTCAGTCGGTCACAACGTTAACTGAATGTTTGTAATTAACAATCGGGCTGATTTAACAATGCATGCATCACGAGTAATGGTTGCCCAGAAATGGTCGAAATGAAATCTTGGCAGAATGCAATATATGTTTTTTATAACGCAGAAACGCTTTTCACACATGCCAGTTAAAATACATTGTTTATTAAATGATTGATTTTAGGAATAATTTAGGACTGGGTGTTCCAAAATTGCGAGATTGTGAAGAATCGCAAAAAATTTTGAAGAGGTCTCGGGGGCTGCAATCGGAGAAAACTCAAAAGTAATCAAAATATCTTACTTTAAATTTAACAATGAGAATTTACCGTCTTAATCAGCCGTTCTAAATGCTTTTCTCGTGTTTGATTTTGTAATGTCGCTTCAAACTACATTCTTTCGTGATATTACTTGAAAGCACTCCAGGCACAGTGATTTACCGTTGTTGTGTGTAAGGAAATACGTTTCCTACCAGTTTTCCTCTGTCATCTTTCTTTTGATACACATTTTATGATAATTGTTTCATTTGACTATTTTTATAACTTGCAGCGTGAGTAGGCCTAGTGCCATCGTCAAAGAAAATCCAAGTCCAACCAAGCAGCATGCAGCCCACGTGCCAGGGTTTGTGAAATTATTTCGGGATTGAGCCATTAAAACAGTTCTGATTATCTTCGTGAACAATAAAACAAAGCTGCTAAACGCGCTGAAGAAGAACAACACCGTGCCATGTCACTGCATTTGTGAGAATACACTTTGCCTTCGCTTGTTACATATATGTTTTAAAACGCAGCCCGATTGGCCTAATGAGAACTGTAATCGAATCTTCATGGTTTATATACCGTAAGTTGAGAACGTCATAAATTAATTGGAAATTAATTCATGATTTAGTATAAAAAATCTATAATTTAAATTATGTTTTCCCTTTTATATAATGAGCATGTGCATTTCATCTTTTTATTTCGTTTGGGAAAATTTGGGATTCAAATTGTTTTGCTGTACACATGTACACCCATACTTAAAATCGTATCAAGAACTTCTCCATTTTACACGGAGGGGCAATTTACTAAGGGCACATCGCTTCCGACGCCGTAGTACAGGGGTTCTGAACCTTTTTTTTGTCAAGTACCCTCGAGTCACCAAACAATCAATGCGAACCCCCGGTAATCAGACACCGAACAAAGTTGTGATATATTGATATATTGAATAACAATTTGTTGCAACATCAGTTTAATGACCATATGTAACTAAATTAAATCGTCTTGTTGATATTATTGCCCTTGTCGTCTGCCTAACTAATGAATTCTAAATTTCCTCCCCCAAGTTTCAATAAGCATAATCCCTTCTCCAATGCTCGCAGCACGCTTTCTTTAGAGATTTCACCGTTTGTACGCAAAGCCTCGAATTTCACAATGTTGCATCACAATCACAACAACGCTAGATCATGTAAAATCTACATTTCAATTGGCGTCTAGTTTTCCTCAGATAATAAAGGACATTAAAAAGAGCAACATACAAAAACTCGACTGTCATCCAAATACCCCTGGAAATCTTCTCGTGAACCCCTTGGGGTTCGCGAACCCCAGGTTGAGAACCCCTGCCGTAGTACATCAGATGACAATGAATAAAGTCAATCTCAGTTTATTTATGTGTATATCGGAGTATCTGGCATAGCATGAAATTATAAATCACAATGATAACTACAAACTCTTGAATGGATGGAGTAATCTGATGGTAGACTTTTATCCTGACTTATCCAAAGCTTTCAAATAAAAGTATGGCAATTATTCGGTGCTGATAAACATCCTCGGGGAGTATTGTCCTAATGAGAGAGAAATCCTATTAAAATTGATCAACTATGGTTCATCAAAAATGTATCAGGAAGCAGGCGGGTATATATACTTTTAAATGCATTGTGAAATCAGAAGCTAGATTTTTCTTTGCGTAAACGAAAACTTGGATAACATATTTGGTTTGAAAGCCGTTAGTCAGCGAGATCTGAAGAATTTATACTGTTTCTGGTTAAGTAGTGAATTAGAAAAACTATTTCTTACCACATTCTGACATTTCTATCGACTGCTTTAATTTATAACTTCTTTATATATTACTATTGATAATAAATAGAAAGATTGGGCAATGTGTTTCCACTTTCCTGTGACTCTGTTGGTTTGAAATCGAGTATGAAATGTTGCATACTCTGCTGAACGTTCTGGGTCATTCGAGGTATGCACCCAACTTATTTCCTGATAATTTTATTCAATTTAGAATCGCATTTCTCGTGCAATTGTTAGATCATTGGTCACAAATAACAGCACATATCCTAGATTGGTAACGTATCCAATTTTTGACCAAACAATTGAATAATATTTTCAATTCCTTCAATGTAATGCATTTTTACAGGTGGAAATCGTGTTGGTTCTAACAACATTAATTCGGATGACGGCGGAAATAAACTTCAGTTATGTTGTCGATGCATTATCAGCAACACTTGTCGTCTTGCTTCAGTTATACATGGAACCTTCAGGGGGGGCAGTAGAAAGTGGAATCTTTTGCCCAAAATGTTGAATTATTTCATTAATTTATATATTTGGAGCTAAATATATACTTTAAAACTTTTAACTCGAGATTTCGGAAGACACATGTTAGGTCCTATTCGATAGATCAGATAAATATAGTTTTGTGGTGTATACAGAATCACAATTAAACGCAATATATGACATAAGAAAACGAAAATAAATCTCAATTGAGCGATAGTGAATCCATGTCAGTGCTCGTCAACCGGGTGTATAGTACACCCCAGGGTGTATCAAAAATTTCAAGGGGTGTACCGTACCGAATGTTGTAGGTTACATACTAAATGATTATATACGAAATAAATATGCTAAAATACGCTACCTTGTTAACGGTACATTCATCGAGAAACTCTTGTCTTAAAAAAACTAAACTATAAAAGGGTCAGAAAAGTGATTTGCATATTTTTCTCAGTGATATCCTAAAAGTAGTTTATTTTGTTCGGTCTCATTTTAGAAATATTTGTGTTCTGAAATTTTTCGAAATAGAATAAATAACAGATGTAGGCAATCAAATAATGCACCAATTGAGGACTTTCAACAAGTCAGTACATAGGAATCCGCGCACTCCAAATAAAAACAATTAATTTACTGAACACTATCTAGTCAAATGTGGCCACGGAAAAAAGCATGGTGATTATAAATAGTTGGCGTTGGCTGGATCAACATTTAAAAGTTCTCAATTTTTTACTTCTATATTTGTTTGTCAGGTCCTTGTCTAGAATCACTTCCAAGGCTATTTTTAGTATCACGAGTTTGTTATACAATTCGAAGCTGTGTATATACATCACTCAAATGGCTGTAAATGCACATGGCATGAGCTCTATATGTATGACGCATGACGCATTATCTACAATTAAAAGTACTATGTCTTTAATATGTAATCTTTGTTCGATGTGACACAGCATGTGGGTGGCTTTTCTCCGTCTACTTAGTACAAATTATGCGGTTTACGGTGCATTTACAAATTGGTCATGTTTAATAAGTTGATCACATTCTTTAGCCATTTCATCGGAAGAGTTGAAATCAGGTGAGATAGCGTGAATCGGCCTCAATACAAATGTATCTACTATCTACGATTAATACATATACTGGTCATACTAGATGTTTAAGTGAATGGCAGACAGTATTTATTTTCATCGCTTATTTCAAAATTTCGAATGAGCTTTTTTCGCTTTTTCTTTTTGAAATACGTAAAGATACGTATGTGGCATGTGCCAAATGACGTATATATATGTTCGTGTCACGTAAAGTGTTAAAAGTAGTCTAGTAATTTGTTGATCATGTTTTTTTCTGACAGGCGATAAGATAAATTTGGAAATATAACTGGAAATATCAATAAAATTCATATCTCTAATCGGCTTAATTTATCTGATTGAATTACCTTAAAACGATAGGAGACTTTTTTACCACATGAAATATCTTTATCTGAATGTAGAAACTATATATATTGGACGAATATAGGATGATTTCTATCATTTGGTAGATGTCTAGAGCTTTGGAACTTGTCGCCCGCATTTCTACAAATACCAGGAACTTTGGGTGAGTTAGAAACAGCGCATTTGTTATCCAGAATAAAATCTAACAAGATTGAAGTAATTGCCAATATCAGACAATAGTCCGGAAAAATGTTTCAAATATATTTTTACGACCAATGGTAAAACGAACTATTGAGAAAATAACGAAGCAGACTAAAAATAGCGTAACCCGGACGTTGATGGACTACTATATATATATAATATAAATTTGATGTTCATGACAATTGTCATGAAAAATCGGCAATTTGAAAGTATTGCGTAATGATATATATGAATTCGATTGTAAAAATTTTATATATTGAATAGTAAGCACAATGCGCTGTGTCTTAATGCTACGTTGCATGTGAGCTAGTCTCCCATCAAGCCTCGTCTTGATCTAACAATATCCAATATGCAAGCTTAAGTTTCGTATTAATAGTAAATTGAGTGCGGATACATTGTTTCACATCTCATTGAGGTTCGCACAAAACAATACAATAGAAGAGGGTGGCAAATTGAAAAAGGTTGATAAAAAATAGTAAAACTGCATTCTGGATAGTAGAAGGACAAATATCTAGTAAAAATCTGTATTTAAAATTATATTTATTTCAAAATTGAATTTCTGTTTTCCAGGAAATTTCAATTTTACAATCAATAAAAGTTCAACAATGACAAATATAGACCTCTTGCTCTTTATGACTGGACTTCTGTTTATTATGTTTCTCTGCGTCACAGATGTCAATGCGCCACCACCCGCAGGCTGTACGTAATTCAACTTTGTGAAATATTTTGTACATTCAATTCCTTGCCAAAATTTGTAAAATATGAAAAATTATATGTTGCAACTTCGCATATTTGTATTTTGTTCTTCTTTATAGTATGTATCTTCACTTCACTTCATGGTTTTACTGTTGATAAGTGTTTATTAATTTAGCCAGAAATTTATATATATATAACCAAAATTGTTATTCAAACCGTCAAAAACCTTTTTTATTTCATTTTAGTTGTTCATACAGATATTACGCTTAGCTCTGACGATTTTGACGGAGGGTAAGTATTTTTATTGGTATATATAACGTTTGGATATTTAAATATTACAATTTTCTTCTTAATTGTAAAAAGAATCGGATTAGTAGTGAATTCAGGTAGAACTTAAAACGACTGAAAAAAATATTATTTGTCATAATGAACACATATATTTTTCCAATTGCAGGTGAACCTCGACTTCTTTCATATTTCTTCATTCATCATGTTATGTCATCTAACAAATGAATTAGCATTATATATATATATATGGCACTATATATCAGCAATATATTATTTACCAATTGTTGTTAATATATAAAATTGCAAACAAATAATATATTATGCCGATATTTTGAAGTAACGACGTTTAAAAAAAACTATTTCTCATAATAGTAAGCAGATATTTTATCTCATTCAAATTTTTCATTTTATTCAAGTTTCAGACTATTTTTGTTTTCATGTTACAAAGATAATATACAAGATAATATAATGTTTTGTATTATCAAGTAGAAAGGGTTTTAGGAAGATGCGATTCAATAACACTGACCAGAAAAACATTTCCTAATTCAATAAATAAAATACAAATATTTAAGTTAAAAAATATAAAAAACAAATTTATTTAATCGTAACAGCTCATTAGAAGTTTGGTATAACTTACAGTTCATATATGATATTAAATGATATTTTTCGCCATGCTAAAATTATGCATTACGTGAGAAAATATAAATGTGGTGCGATGGGCATTATATGCATGGACACTAAGGAAAATATAATATATCAATATATTATACCTACCAATAGAAACAGTTCAATCAAGTTCAACTTATGATTTCTATATTAATTTACACAATGCACGGTTTTCGATGGCTTTGAAAACGTTGTGTGCTACGATGCCAATATATTTAAGATAAACGCTTGAGCCATCCTTTCACATGTGAATACAAACAATGATTTATTTAGTAGTGTACTCATAAAAGAAATGTCTTGAAACTTTATCAATCACAAGTGTTTGTCACAAATAGTATAACTTATAGTCCGGCAGAATCGGGCCTTAACATTGTTTTGGGACATAAAGTTTTTTTTATTGTTTAGATATAATGTATATGACATATATAATGATACCCAGGTGGGTGTGGAGTATATAATGTTGAGCCTTTTTTTTTAAGTGGATTTGAAGTATTCGGTCCAAGATGACGCACATCTTTAACCCTAACCTGGTAAACATACAATGTTCAGGTTGTGCGTCATCTTGGTACGAATAATTGTTTCATAACTACATGGTTTAGTTTTGCATACATAGTAACATTGAAACTCCTTACAATGTCAGAAATTCAATTTTAGTAGAATAAATGGTAGTTTTATTTCACTAATACAAGACAAGATCCATCGACAGCATCTAGCCACTTCCTATTGCGCTCTTCAAACTACATTTGCGTTGCCGCGCGCATTTCGTTTTCCTAGTTTAAGCTTAGGGACTTGGGAAATATTTTATTAGTTGAAATGGATTGGAATATTTCACCTCGTCTTTCACTTCGAACAAGGCCATGTAAAACCATCCACCGATATCTGTAGATGTGTAACGTGTTTTATTTTGTAAGAACCGCAACTTTTCAGTGCTGCATTGACTTTAGCAAAATTAATATATCCTTGTGGAGATAGAAGGTATGCGTATGCGAAACCGAGATGTGCACCTGTTATGCCAACATAGTTGAGTCAAACGTTTTGAATACTAGTACATCACACACATTTTCCTGCGTGCTTCGGTTGTACGTAGTAACGCGCACATTTTTGCGCACATGCTTCAAATTCCACTTGATTATTGAGCTATAGGTTTTTGACGAGCTTTTATGTATGATTTCATTCCATAGAATTTGTATGCTGTTCTAAAGAATACTAGTTTCAGCTTTTTCATTCATTCAAACCGCATTTTGAAAGTGAGTTTTGTAATATTGCGTGTTGATTTCCAACATCCTTAAATCGGTGATGCCAGTAAATCTTTAATACAAAAAAGATCAGTAACATCTGCAATAAAAACAGCAGTACCCACTCAAATGACAGATGGGGGATGGATACTCTTAGTATCTGCTCCATCGCGTGCCTCTGACAGTCTTACCAGTTTACATAAGTGCCAATTGGTATCTAAGCTCAGCCAGAGACAAAAAGTTTCGAACTCCAGTTGGCGTGACGAAATGTTTTTAAATATATATTCTACAATAAGCTTATTAGATTGCATACTACTGAAAGTTCCGCATTATATGTCTTTTCTCATTGCCCTATTCCTTTACTGATATTCGATAATATGGCGCTCATCTGACATAGTTCTTAAAGTGTGTAGATAGGTGTAATCTTTTCCACGCTGTTCAGATGGGAATGCGCGAATATATATAAGAATTGCTAAAATTGGTTTGCAATGCGATGAAATCCCATCTCGGCATTTCTGCCTCTCGCAATTGCTGCGTAGACTTATCGGGGAAGTTCTGTGGCCTGGTTATCAAATGAAAAAAAAAACATGGGAGTATTTTTTCTACTTCTCTACTACTATCAAACCTTAACATTTTGTGAAAACTTTTTTCCATGCAACCTTTTTTTAAAACATCCCCAACAACCACAATTAATTCTGTTATTAAACTTCCGAAACAAACACATAAAATCATCAACAGATGCATATCACCAAGTAGATATTGCTGAATTTAACTTTATTTTACCATTTTTTATGTAATTCTTTTTGGTAAACCTGTTATCTATCGTAAATACAGCACATTTGACAATGTTGTAGTGTGACTTTTTTGGCCTCACATTTTTGATATTTGAGGTTAGAGCTCTTGGGGCTCTGTCAAACAAAGTTACATACAAAATATTGGTTGTAAATTGCAAAACATGATCATGTTGTTGGAATAACTTGGAATTTTACCACCCGTATATCATTCATTGTTGAGAATATTAATAAAATCATAAAATTTAAAAATCCGTTTTCGTAAAATTTTTGTTGTAGCTGAATTCCGACAGCATGACAACAGGCAAGAGAAGCACGGTCACCTCTTTTAGTTTATGACAGGGTTTCTTAAAAGGGGACCCCGTCCTCCTTGGAGACCGCTGATCGGTTATCTGGGAGCACGAACAAACATATGGAAATGCGAATATATAATAACAATGTATTTTTATAGAAGAGAAGAAGCAAAAGTGTTGAGAGTCTTTGGTAGTTTGAAAAGCATTGGCATGGAACAAATATAAGAATGGACTACATTCTTTCCCAGGGATATACTATAAAATGTAGCAATTTTTCATTCTTGTTCTCATGATATCAGTAGTGGATCAGGGTTCGCAGAACAGTATGTGAGCCGGTGGGCCCCGGTGGGTCCTGGTCCGGTGTGTTCTGGTCCGGGGTCTAAATTCGGCACTCTGTAGTGGTCAATTAAGTTTATCGCTGTCTTGACCGATAAGCTTTCAGGGTAATGGAGTTTGAAATGAACGTGAGAGAAAGAATTTGTTTGCTCATCCTTTAATCTTTGAAACCGCTAAAGAGAAGATTTGCGATTGTTTGTACCTTGGTGTCACCGGTAATTAATTGGATGGCTGATAAAGCTTGTAATCATTCGCGTACGAAAGATTTTGGATTGTTTGTCTAATAAGGATTAGTGCAAGCGAAACGATTCAGATTGTTTTTTTATCAGAAGTAATTTGTCGTCAAAATTCACAGTAATTTTTCTGATGTCTGTTATAATATAACGAATCGCTTACTCACCTTGGGAGAAAAATTGCAAGTATTTGCGCTGCGCATTTAGGTTTTGAAAAACATAACTCGATAATTAAATCAATGGACATGTTGTCATTTGAATTCGAGAGATTTTACATTTTTGCTTTGTAAAATGGATATAGACTTTTAACAAAGGAATAAAAAAATCGTGAGTGGGACTTCTGCTTTTTATGGTAGTATTATATTAACTGAATATGAAAATCTTTATACGACCATAATTTGCCAAATGTGAAAGATATTCAATGGTCGGCAATGAGAGATTCAAATTATTCAATCGTTCTTACCACATGATCGCTGGAAATCACTGGGTTTTAGCCATTTTAGCCATTAGACATTAGAATCGGTGTATTAGATTACTCTAATTTTTTTGATAGTCAATTATGACTGTTGTTTATCTGTATGAAAATCATCGTTTATATTTCAGCTTTTTGGTATCTATGTAGAATCAATACATTACTTTTTGATATTGGGGTATGGAATTTCTTCCAGTGCACATGGTATTTTCGGAGATAAAGATTGCTGATTTTTAAGAAGTTGTTTATGTTGGTATTTACAGAATGTTTGATGGTATGCTTATTATTGTTGCGGAATAGTGCGTCTTTATAATCGGAATGAAGGAATTTTGTCGTTTTAATTTCATCTTAATGGGTACGAGTTATATTGTTGGATTTTTTTTTCAGGGTTTATAATCGTATGTTTATATCTTAATATATTTGCACAGAGATAATAGGAATTAGTTTTGATTAGATTTTTGACGTTTCTTACCGTGGTGTTTACATGGAGGTATTTTATCGTGTATGGTAAACATGTTGTTGCGTGTAATTCCAATGCGCTCAAAAATAACTTTATAAAATTTACCTGTATGGAGGTATTTCATCGTGTATGTTTAACGTTGTTGCGTAAAGTATACTGTACAGAGTTTTTGATAAATTTTTTAATTTTTTTAATTTTGCGAAGTTCTTTTTGCAAACTGTGTATTTGAATTTTACCTTATTGCTGGTGCGCAACCGTAGTTTTTCTGTAATTCCAATGCGCTTAAAAATACGTTTACAAAATTCACCTAGCGATGATTTGTTACTCTGTTTTAGGGTCGCAAAATAGCCTGTGATTCAAGTGTGTATGTTAAAAACACCAATTTTTATTTTTGTGATATAGAATATAGATCATAACAAAATTTACCAATTTTGTTTGACACAATAAGTAGATAGAATTATTTGTTTGTTATGTTTCATGGTGTTTATACATTGAATGATTCATCAGCATTCAGTAAAATCCGGGTTGGACTCATTTACTTGGTATGTGTTTCATCGCATCGGAACATTATTGTGAAAATTTACTAATCATCAAACATTGGGGTTAAGAGTATTCCACACAATGCGATTAGTGCTAACTACAGATAAACGAAATCAGTTACGTTGTGGAAAAGTAGAATAAGTCATTATAACAACGATTAACTTGAATGTTTTGCAGTGACATTAATTTATGTTTTTCAAATATCCTGATGAAATTTTATATTATTTCTCGTTTACTGCGGTGGGGTGATTTTTTTTGCCCGAAAACATTCATTCAACACGAGAATTTCGTTAAATTGTACCCTGAAAAAGATGGATGCTCATCATGGTTTTAGTATTAAGTTGAATACATT